ATAGTGAAACAATTAACAAGGAATTTTCATCAAATGTATATGGCAGACAAGCAGTGAAATCGTCCTGAACCTGAATGTTGGCACTTGGTATCAATCACATAATGCTAGAGCAAAAATCATGTTAAAATCTCTCACCGTCTGTGAAGGGGGTAAATTTTCAACTCTGCTCTGCAATTTGTCTTTCGTGTCATTAGTTGGTTCATGCTTCAAAATTCCATTAACAGGCAGCAACATGGGAGAATGGGGTGGGCACGTGAGAACAACCCTAAGCTTGGTCTCTTCAATATATTTATCACCATCTTTTGCAAACTGCCACAATAAGAATATTATTAAAATACTAAGGGCAATCCGCAGAAACTATTCCGAAATTAGTTGTGAAACACAAGATAAATGGCAGATATTTATTGAAAAATCACTTTAGAGCAATTGTACCATGCCAGATGTAATTTGCTCTTCTGTTGTGCCATATGGAACAATCGTATGCTGAATCAGGAATTTATCCTTGCATTGCATATCATCTGGTGCAGATTTTTGTGCTTGCATGGTAACTACATCACCAAAAAGGTAAATGTTAGGAAAGTCCTTAAAATCCAGATCATACCACAAATAGTCAAAGAAGCTGTTAAGCTTCATGATAAACATGTGATTTTAATAGCCAAAATGTCAGAGGTTGACAGCCTGTCGGCGCCAATACTGGAATTTGCAGAAAAACACGTGGTTCTTAATATGCCCTTGATACATGTGATTAATGATGATAATGCATCGCAAAATAATAGATAAAAATCAGCTTTTGAAACTTATTTTCCAAGTGTCATAAAGAAACTACATTAAACATAATTATTTACTGAGACATAACGTGAAATTGGAAAGTATACAACAAGGTAACACTTAGATACCAGTAAAAGCACATGTTAAATTTGGCTTGATTATGCCTACATTAGGGCGCACACAATACTTCTTGGGTGACGTAGTCTTCACCTGCCAAATAAATTATATTAGCCAATTCAAAAGTCTCTCCAAAGAGCGGAGATCAAGTTAAATTCACTTAGTTACTTTATAAATTTCTGTGAACGAAAGAAGGAAAGTTTTCTGATCAGGCTGTCATACAACTAGACAGACTTTAAATCCTTTTCGGAGAGATTACATCATGATAGTGTCCAACAAGATCGAAGTTACTTACCTTGAAAGCTACATATTGATCACAGAGATTGGTAAGGTGAACAGAGCACGTACTCTGTTTCTTAACCTCAACTAAAGAAGGAGAAGGGAAATGTGAGACTTGCGCCATTGCAGATATAAATTAAACAGATTACAATGATTAATCATTTAAACAGCACATATTTTACATAGTTATTACATTCATTAATCATTTAAACAATGTGAATATGTGATGAAATTGCACTTCTCTCCTTCGTTTTCATCTATATAAAGCCGTTCCCTGGTTCCTCAAACAAGAAGAAGAAAGATAAAGAATAAGTGATGTGGACTGCAAAAACCCAATCACACTAGAATTACAGACGCAATAATCTTATAATCAGCAAGAGATCTTTTTCAATATCTGACTAAGGACAGAACCATAATTTGAGAAAAGAACTAGTATACTTTCTCAAAATAGCACAGTTAGATAGCTACCATAAGCATTTATTACCTTTAGAGAGGTAAGATAAAAAAGGATGTGGGAAATTATGGTATATTCATGAGCAGAAGAGCAAGTAGGAGGTGGAAACTACAACCCTAAAAGAAATTTGTGAAATGTATTGACAGGGCTATGTTCCTGTAAATGAGTGCTTCAAAATTAAACTTATTCACATCCCTACAAAAGAACATGATTCTGTCATATATCCTAACACAGCTAAAATAACAATAAAAATTCACCTCCGTAAAGTTTTCCACTTAAGATCAAATAACTTATAGACCTCGTATGACCAGACCAGTTAGAACTTTGGGCAGTATGCAATGACGAGAGTCCTGTGCCATGACACTTAATAGCTACCATCTGAAGGCATGTATTTCACGATCATTCCCAGGTATCCATTAACACAGTCAAGGTGACTTAAAATGGTTCCATCCTAGTGCCCTTGAATTCTAGGATGCCATGCTTACAGAATGGAATTGGGGCATTGTCATTGAAGTTTTAACAAATTTTCTATTTGAATCCAAATGCAAATGCTCTAATTTCCAGTCAGAAGATTCTACCCTAGCCACCCAACACGGTTTAAATCTATTCAAGACAGGCTACCGAACTGAGACAACTTAAAAGGGGCTTTTGTTTCTAGATAGAATTCTTTTAAGAATACTAATCAATGAAAGTATAGTGATATCATTAAATGTATGGCATACACCTAGATTCGGATGCAACATGATGCATTCATTAACATAACCGAAGGCCAAAAACCATAAAATGATACAAGTATCCAAATCAATCAAAGCAACATAACTCCACAACTTCACTTACATATAAAACTGAGTTCACGGGGATGAATGTCAACTAGACGGCCAGTCATGATTCTTCTAGCCTGAGATAGT